ATCCGGAGTGAAATTCACAACAAAAAACCCTCCAAAGAAGATGAAATTTTCAACTTTGGAATTGTAAGTTGGTCATCTTCTTCCTTTGGCATTATTTTGTGGCTTAATACATCTGTATAGCCATAGATTTTTACTTTATGACAACAATAGCCAAATTTTTAAAAATACACAAAAATAGCCATTCCGTCAATAACTTTAACAGAATCATTATCAATGTTGACGGACTAACATCTTCTAATGACATGGCGATTTTTCTCAAACGTCATGCCAGGTGGAAATACTCAAATACTAAAAAAAAGTAAATAAATAAAATAAAAAAAAGGATAAATCGCATCTCGCTCTTTACGAACCCCGAACCCCTCTACCAACCCATCTCCCTCTCCGACGAGTTGAGCTCTTCCTTTTTCTTCTTACTCCGCAAGGGTATTCATCTTGTTCTTTCCCCGAGTCGCCGGTATCGTCGTTGCCGCTTCATCCACCATTCTCCTCTATTCGTCATTCGGCTCGGAGTGAAACAGATCGGAGAGAACGAGAGCCACTCCGCAGCATCGATTGCGAAACCCCAACCACCGCCAAGGCTCGGCTGGCTCCGACACCGATTTTCAGATCCGGTCGTGGTCTTAGAGGCGCTGGTCTGCAGCCGCATATCGTCTCCAGATCTGCAACCGCCTTTTCCAATCTCCTTCACCGAGAACTCCAAAGCTCACCGGAGAGATTGAGACCGTCGTAGACCTCCGACACGCCGCTACCCCGTATCAGATCTGTGTCAAAATTGAGACTTTTCCATTTTTGCTTTCTTGCTTGATTGAATGTCAGATCCGAAATTGTAGGGTTTATATGCTGTTTGAAGTGGGTTGGATTTGTCGTCGGAGGTGGATTTATTGGTGATGAGTTCAGTGGGCATTCTTATCGTCAGAGGTGGATTTTGGCATTTGGATTTTTCTCATCAGTGGACAAGCTAATCTAGGCAAGGTAAGGAAGGTTCTTGATATGGTGTTCGCTTTATAGGAGATGAGAGACACTTAAAAGAGCTAATTTTGTTAGTCGATTTTGTGTTTGCAATCGCAGAATTGGGTCCAGCCACCGCCGACGCCGAGGTCGTCGGGATTCCCCGTCGAGAAGGAAGGATTAAAGAAAAATAGAAATAGAAAATTATTGAAATTAATACTTCATGTTTTGAAATTATTTGGAGTTTATTTATATTTTTTTCAAAATAAGAGGTGGCATCCACGTGGCATAACGAGTCTAGTTGAAGCTTATGTGTCGTCTAGGTGGCATCCACATCAGATTAACATTTATTTAACTGACGGCATTCCTAACACCGTTAAACTTTGTAACGGAAATGGCTAAAGTTGTCAATCTAGTTTCAAAAACATGGCTATATTTGTGTATTTTTTGAAATTTGGCTATTATTGTCACAAATCGAATAGTTATAGCTATGCGGGTGTATTAAGCCTTATTTTGTTTTCAGAAAGTTGGCCATCCTCCTGTTCTCATACAAACTGATTCTCTAATCCAATTTACTACTCTCATTGTTTCAGCAACCAATACCCGATTACGGATTACCCACTTTCCTTGTTCGTTAATCAACCTCATAAGTATCAGGATTTTTTTAATAAGACCATAAATATCAGTATCGTTCCTTAACAAACTCAACCTCCTCGAAATTTTTTTTAACTCAATTCCCTTTTTAATAAAAAAAATATAGTCTTCGAATAAGCTGGAAATAACCATCTCCCTGCTCACTTCCAGTGCCCACTGATCATGAAGAATAATAATGCATATAACTGTCACAGCAATCCTTTGCCTCCTGGGATTCCTTTGGTAGCCTATTTATCACAATGAGGAAGTAAATCACAATCTTATCATGATGTAAACAAGAAATGGTTACCATGTTAATTAGAACATTCTAATGGGTAGTATTTGAATAATTTGAATAATTGGTTTGGTTTGGTTAACTTTTATAGCTTGTTTGGTTTGAACAGTTTAATATGGTTTCAGACACTGCTAACTAATCAACCAATTAGACACTTAGCTATTTGTCTAATGTATTATATACACATATTTAATACCATACATAACTAAGTCCGGTGTCCCTCCCGTTTGGACCTGTAAAAAACAATGCTCATAATTGTTTATGTATTCGTTCTTAACTTTCGACATGTAAAAAATAATGCTCAAAATTGTTTATGTATTCGTTGTTAACTTATTATAGAGTATAAGCAACAACATATTAGCTCATAATTTAGATAAATCTCACACACATTATGCTAGATGAAAACCTGAAATGGAAGAGTTTTTTCCTCCTTATCATTATCATTGGTATATATAATTATATTAGTCACATATATTTATGTTAAGAGTTAACTATGATTGCTATGTTTTATTCATTACATATATTATGGTCAAACAATGATAATTTTCTCCACATAATGATAGTGCTATACTACATAGTTTCACGCGATTAAACTTTACTTTGATTAATTTGGTTGTAGCATTAATTTGATAAGTTTTGGTTAAGATATTATGTTTCATGGTTAATAAACTTTAGTCCGACTTCCGCATCGCCATCCAGCTTCTTCAGGCGGTGAATGAGTGCCACCCACACTACTCGATGGTTAGGGAGGCTCGACGACTGTTGGCGATGGATTGGGAGGTCACAGTCTCACATGTGTTTCAGGTAGGCAACTTGGTTGCTGACTATCTGGCCTCAATCGGTCACTACTTAGTACTTGCCTTTGGGTGTTCATTTTTGTGAGCCGCCTAGTGCTATGCTCAGTTATCGGTTGTATTACCACTCTATGGGAGCATCCTTTGTGATATATATATATATATATTTTTTTAAGTTTAACTCCATTGATCTGATAACTATCATGCTAACCATTTGGGAAAAAAAGAATTTGTTGTACATTTATATGCATAAAACAGAGGAATGGGCTCTGTTTCTCCTGCCTCGTCTTTTCTTCTATAGTAGCACGTATTATCACCCTGTATTGGTGGGATAACTCAGCTAATACATTAATTCGCTTCCAAAACTGAATGCCCTTGCTCTTGATTGCCCATTTCCTCCCTTCCGGGTTACAAAATTTGTTTCGTCCACCTGTCGATCATTACTCTCCGATAGAGGCAGAGGACTCTGCCTTGATAAGAAACAGAGTAACTCTTCGTATCTGTAATCTGGGTTTTCAATTTCCACGTTGGAACTCTAATTCCTCGGCCTTCAGCAGCTCTTCCCGGAAAGCTTTGGTGAAGAACGGAACTCTGCACCTCTTGGGGCATTTCAAGCAGCTCACTTTCCCCCTCAAAACTTGCTCCACCTGCGGCATCTGCGGCCTCCGAATCGCCGACTGCTGAATGCAGAGCGCGGCGGCGAGGAGCATCAGGTTAGCCTGCTTCGCGTCGTAATCGTTCCCCAGCGCTGGATCGACTAGCTCCCGTATATCGTTCTTCTTCAGCAATGGCTTTGCCTGCATTGACAAGCAAGAAAAAAAAGAAAACCAAAAGTGGGTGAATGAATGGTGGGGAAATTGACAATGATTTGATTGGATAAACTAAGCAACAGAAGACAGCAAATCAGCAATCATCAGTGAAAATTATTAGTATTACCCACAAGACGAGGCTTTGCTCTTTGTAATCAAGCGCGCGGCGTCCAGTGACAAGCTCCAACAGCAGCACCCCGAAGGCGAATACATCCGTCTTCTCATCCACGATTCCGTGCATCAAAAACTCCGGCGCAAGATACCTGCGTAATAATGGCGGCCGTTACTTTACGTTTACGGATCTATTCTAAACAACCCAAATCATTGAATCGCTCCAATTGATTGATTGACTGAGAGAAAGAGAGAGAGAGAGTACGAACCCAAAAGTGCCTTCGAATTTGGACACGGTGTGATGGGTCCATTTCTCCGGTAGCCACTTGGCCAATCCAAAATCACAAATCTGCAGCAGAGAGAGGGTCGAAAAGGTCAATTTCTTCTTCCTCCTTGTCTACTCAGAACAAAGAATGGTAAATCACAAACCTGAGGCTCGAATTCTTCGGTGAGCAGAATATTTGCGGCCTTGATATCTCGATGGATGATTCGCCGCTGGCATCCTCTGTGCAGATAAACCAACCCTTGAGCCGTCCCAATCGCAACCTTGTACCGAACCTCCCAACTCAGGCACTCTCTCGAGCCTGTTTGCCCGACCCAAAACCCCAACCCCGGTTTACTAAATACAGAATCCGAAATTGGAGGAGGATTGATGATGATGAAATTGAACTCTGAAAACTGTACCGTAGAGTGACGACGCCAAACTGCCTCGGGAAGAGAGGTGGAGGACGAGATGCATCCCTCCTTCGACTCCATACCCAATCAATTTCGCGGTGTTGGGGTGCTTGACGTGGGCCATGATTCCCAGCTCCGACAAGAAATCGGCGGTCATCTCGTCCGGCGTCCCTCTCGTCAGCCGCTTTATCGCCACCGATTTCCCGTTCCACAGACGACCCTTGTACACCTCCGCGTACCCGCCTTTCCCGATCATGTTCCCTGCCCCAATTGAAACCCAATTTCCCGGTTCCGGTTCAGCCCAACTGCAATTAATTAACCACCCAGAGAAGAAGAAATGAATTACCAACCTGGGCTGAAGTTATTGGTGGCGGCTTGGAGCTGGGCGAGGGTGAAATTCATCCTCTGGGTTCCGTCATCGTTCCAGTGAGAAGCCGAATCGGGGAAGAAATTGGGTACGAGGACGGAGGAGGTGGAGACGTGTTCTCTCATGCTGAAGCTGCGGAAGGATGATTTAAGGGCGCTGAGAGGATGGGGCTTGTTGTTGTTGCTGTTGTTATCGGCGGCGGGTTTCTTGGAATTGCTGCGGAAGAGATGGGCGATTCCGTTCCAACGGGAGCTGCTGGATTTTTGGATTTGGGTTGGAGAATTGGAAGAGGTCGATTCTTCTTCTTCTTCTTCGCTTCTGAAGTAGTCTTCCAGTACGCCAACGGGAGAGCTCGACTCCACCGCCACCGTCTTCTTCTTCTTCGTCATCTTCATTGCCTCCCAGATTCGTAGAGGCTCAGTATCTTGTAGAGCGGGAAAATACAGAGATTGCCACGGGGCGCGGGACGGCGGGAAATTCTGCAAAATTGATAAGAGATGGTGGAGGGAAAATGGTTTTGTCCTGTGAGATATTATCATAGCCTCAATTTTATCGGATGTACCACATAGGTTTTCATCTTTTTATTATTATTATTATTCTTATTATTATATTTGCAGTCGGCAGAGAAAACGTGACTGAGAAGCTGAGAGGACAACAAGGAGTTGGAGGAATGTGTTAAAAAATTAATGAAACTAGCTTAACGTCCACCAACTACTTTTTTACAAGGAAGATTACTAATTAATGTGATATATCTGGTTTATAAAGAGTATATATTTCTACCAAAAATAATATTATCATGTCTCAAAGTAATCCAGTTAATTAGTTTTGCTAGTGAAATAATTTTCATATAAGTTCTAAGGTGCACATATATAATGAAATATCATATGAGTGGTTGGTCCAACGTACTTCCAAAATTGAATCGACCCCATTACTGGTGGACTGGACTGGACGAGGTCCAAATGGTTGGGCTGCTGAAATCACCCTGGCAGCTGCACACCTAATTTTCCTTTTCTTCAATTTGGTTTATTTTACTATGTTATTTTATTCAAGTTTCAATTTAGTCATCCCAATCACAAGCATCATGATAAATTAGGTAGAGTGTTCTATGAGCTTTTTCTCAGAATTTTTTTCCTTATATACTTTCGACGGCATAATAAGGTGTACGGATTTTCTATGGCTAAAAAAGTGTAGTTAAAAAAATTGGGTTTTCTGTTTGATTGAAACATATGGATTACATTGTGATATATAATTCACATTCCAAAATAAAAAGTTCACATTCCAATAATAAGTGTTGCTCTAATTTTAGGCTTAACTTAAAAATTTAAATTGGCGTTTCTTCATTCTACACCCCTAATAACAAACTAAACACACTTCACCTCCAATCATTAGAACACAACAACCACAAGAAATTCATAATTAGGATATGCATGCGTCAAAGTTTACGCAATAAGAAAAATCACAACATCCATATCATAGTCTCATCCAAGATCTTGACTGAGTTCTAGACTTTGATCGAAGAGTTTGATTCCGCATTACTTGCATTAGCATTGGTCAAACATACCAGTAAAATCGAAATGTTCTGTACATATTAATCCAAAATTTGATCAATCGCGGTTTCGTACCAACAACATAAATCTGATGAAAGAAACAGAAAAAAGAACACTAATTCTATACAGCTAACTATTTAAGTCCTAAAACTAATCAACCAGCTGTAAGTTACAATCTATCAATTAGATTCTAATTTATACAAGACACATGCATCTAGACTCTTCCAGTTATGGGAAACTTAGACTCTGTGGAAAGGGAACTTACACAGATACACGACGGTGACGAATCGCGGCAGCACGGTGAGGTCGGCGATGGGTGACCACCGGCTGGATTCTGACTGCGGCGGTGATTCAGAAAAGGGCAGCAGCTTCGGCTGTGCAGAGGAAGACTGAGAAGAGGGTGGCTGGAGGAAGATAGATATGAGACGCGAATTCTTCTTCTAAATTTCCTTTCAATTTTACTGGACAAAAAAACTGCACCGTTTTGGGTTTATATGGGCAGTTTGGTTCTTTGACTACATTAAAGTACATCCGGCTAAAAAGAAAACCTGAGTGACCAAACTTTTGGAAAACGTGAGTCAGGAGCTTTCTCGATCTCATATTTATTTCCTACTCCACAAATCCAATCATCAAAACCGGGAAGGCAAATCATTGTTGCTTCATCTGCATATATTTGGCAACATCAACTAGACACCGGGGCTAAGCAAGGATTCGAAGAGGGGTATGATGATGAACAATCGTGAGCTTCAAAATTAAGGATGGTTGGCAACACTAATCATGGTCAGCTTTTATTTTTACATTTTAAATTATGTAATGCGTGTAAGTGTCACTAATAAGTAATTATACAAGTCGCGTGATGAATATTTAGGCCAATTCCTTCAGGTTCTCTCCTCTCTTTTTTATCTACGAGTCATTTTTTTTTATCATTTTCCTTTTGAACTCTACCTAACCGGCAAACACTAATAGGTAATGATGATGAGCAATATAGCATTGGTGCTATAATGTACAACTCAAAGTTGTACCATAACATTAAATGTATAAGTTTAGGTTGTACCATAAAGCAATTTGTATCATTATGTTATTTTACAACTTGAAGTTGTACCATCACATAAAGCTACAAGTTCAAGTTGTACCATAAAAGAATTTTGTACAAAAAGTATAGGTACAATCTGAAGTTGTACCATAACGTAAATGTACAATTTTAAGTTGTACCATAAAGGCAAAAATTTATAGCACCAATACTATATAACATTGTAAAACTTCTCAATGATCATTGTATTTTAACGCTATGCTCCCCCCTCAAGCCTCCAGTATTGATTACCAATATATACAAACACGACACATATATGTTTTTCCCCATTGAATTCCTACATTTAAAGGGGAACAAGAAAATCAAATTATATCTTTATGAGTGCCAAATACAGATTAGAGTGAAACCGTTTAGACTTTAGAGCGGGTTGTCCTAAACCTGTCTAGTATCATCCTTATTTTCAATTTTTAAACCTAAATGGGTTGTCCTAAATGGCTAAATCTGTCTAGTATCATCTTTATTTTTAATTTGTAAGCCTATATTCTTCGCATTCTCGCGTTAATACATATTTTGCATTCTCGCTTTAATTTATAACGTTATTTGATACCCGAATGAAATATCCTACCAAAATTCAACCAAAATTATCAATATAATTAGGATGAAAACACACCAAACAAAAAGTAGGAGAAATTTCCTTTAAACTTTCTTTCTTTCTAATTGCTCGATTTTACATTTCATTTCATTTTCCTCCCCCTTCCCCCCTTATTAGTTATAATTGTTATTTTGTTTCTCGCTTTGGTGCTTTATTTTCATCTTCTCCTCTATTATGTTCATGCGGAAGGGTCAATGTATAAACGAATTCTATAAGCTTTATCCCTTCCCTGCCCTTATTCGTCTACCTACATTGCATGTAACACAAATGTAGCACCAATCGTCGAATGGAAGGAGGTTAAAAAAAGAAGTGTTTGTGAATCACAACGTTGGTTAATATTTCTCTCATGACGTTTCATTTCTATAGCCGGACGTATTCATAATTGCCATAACCATTACCCAAGAGCTCCTCCCCTGATCCAGTGCCCTCCATCCACCTCTCACCACCATCATCCATAATCCCACGCGCCACCGCGCCACTCGCCAGCTCCGCCACCACCTCCTCCGCCTCCAGCATCCTAACCACCTGGTCCATCGTCGGCCTCGCATACAGCTGCGGGTGCGTACAGAGCAACCCCACCACCACATACCTCTCCACCACATCCAAAACGCCGCCGCATTGCTCCCGAATCCCTTCCTCCGCCACCTCCGCCGCCCTCCCTTCCCTCGCCATCCGCCGGGCCCAATCCGTCAACAGACTCGCCGCCTTAATACTACTCCCATCCCCTTCTCCTCCTCCGCCGCCGGCTTTCATCACCGCCTTCTTCCCGCTCAGAAGCTCCAGCAGCACGACGCCGTAGCTGTACACGTCGCTCCTCTCCGTCAGCTGCCCGTACAGCGCGTACTCCGGCGCCACGTACCCCATCGTCCCCGCCACCCTGGTGCTGACGTGGCTCCTCCCTGCTTCCTCCGGGGTGAATTTGGCGAGCCCAAAGTCTGCCACTTTGGGCTCGAACGTCTCGTCCAGCAAAACATTGCTGGCTTTGATGTCCCTGTGGATGATCCCCGGTTGGGCGCCGTAGTGGAGATAAGCCAGTCCTCTCGCCATCCCCAAAGCTATCCTCTGGCGAGTCGGCCATGTCAATTGGGTCGGCGACGATTGATGAAATTCACTGCCGAACAAGTGGTCATGGAGGCTGCCGTTCTTCACGAGCTCGCAGACGATCAGCCTCTGGTGTCCTTCCGTCGGAGTGGTGGCGATGGAATAGCCGATCAGGGACACCAGATTGACGTGGTGGACGCTGGAAATCACCTCCACTTCGTGCGCGAAGCTCTCGTCGCCGGAGGCTGAACAGTTCTTGAACCTCTTCACGGCGACTTCGCCGCCGCCGCCGCCGCCGCCGATTAATTGCCCTCTGTATACGTTGCCGAACCCTCCCAGCCCGATGATGTTGTCTCTGGAGAAATTCTTGGTCGCTTTTCGGATCTCGTCGAATTTGAATTTCACCAGGGTTGTGTTCCTGCTGCTAATCGTTCCGAACCCTGAACCTAATTTTGACTTCCCTTTTATTCTCTGCCGAAATCGAATTCCAACAATTAGGACTATGAGAATGGAGATTAGGGCAAGCGATGCTGCGGAGGCGACGAGAATCGCGATTTTCCTCTTCCGGGAGTTGGAATTGTTGGAGGTGAAATCGAGGGAGAACAAGCACTTGACCGCTCCTTTACCGACGGGATTGACGACGGCGGCGGCGGTGTAGATCCAAGGGTAGACCTGACAATCGGAGATGTTTCCGATTGAGTGAAGCTGGCTGCGGGGGAAATAGAGGGCTTGGAGCCTGGAGAGAGCCGTGGTACAGCTGGCGCAAGGGGATCTGTTGTCGAGGGGCTGATTGCAGGCGGAATCGAGGTCGGCGAGCGAGGAATTGGAGACTAGGGTTTCGAAATCTCGGACCGTCGTGATGTTGACGCAGCCCTGGGAGATCCAGCTGGCGGAGAACCCGCACGAGGAGCGGACGTCGAAGTTGGGGAGGTAGTCGTCGACGAGGCGCTGGAACGAGAGCCAGCAGGAGCCGGCGGAGCTGAGCGGCGGGAGGAAGTTGCCGGTCCGGCGGAGGTAGTCGGAGTGGAGGAGGCGGATTCCCTGGCGGAGATGGTGGCAGGCTTGGGAGCGGTCGATGGTGAGGCGTGGGGAGCTGGATACGAGGTTGCGGAGGATGGCGGTGTCAAGTGGACATGGGGTGGTGGTGTTGTCCTGGCCGACGGCGGAGGTTAGGAGGAGGAGGAGGAGGAGGAGGGGGAGGGGGAGAAGGGAGGTCATAGCGGCGGAGAAATGAGGCGAATGGTTTGGGAAAGGGGAGAGTTGGGGGTTGGTTGATGGTCATGAAGGAGGCGGCGGCGGCGGCGTGCCGCTGTCTGATTTGGAACTGTGAGCGGTGGCTTTGGGAGGGGAGATTTGGAGGAGCGAATTGAAAATTCAGCCGCCGGTGATTTCTCGCGTTGTTAATTTGACGAACTAGAGAATTAAAAAAAAAAAAGGGGGAAGAGTAGCCGGCGGACTCTGAAGTTGCACGTGGTATAATTTATTAATTAATTAATTATCCAAAAAAGCTCTTTCCTCCTCGGTATTGAGATAATTGGGCTAGTGAGTCACAGTCGATAGCATAAGTAGTCGGCCCATATATCTAACCATATATATTTCGGCCCATAACCAGCTGAAGTTGGACCACGGATGCGACAGAAGTCACCTACAGAATACATCACGAAACGGCAGCGTTTTGCATGAATGGTCTTTCATCTCTCTCCGTCTCGTCTCAACTCTCTCAAGTTACCGTAGAGAAACTCTTTGGCTCCATCTCCGAAATTCGCCCAAATCCGTCTCTCAGATTGAGTTGAACCCTAGATTTCCTTCTCACACTTCTCTGGGTTCAAATTCTCGACCGATGGCTACCGCCGGGACTGAAGACGTCGAGATGAAGGAGCTCCCGGCTCCAGCGGCAGCTCCCTCCAATTCCGCCGTTACCTCCTCGCCGCCGTCGGTTCTTCAGAGTGCGCATTTATCTGATCTTCGTTGGTTTGAGACTTCGGGATTGAATCTCAGGGCTTATGGTTGTTTGGATTTTCTGTAGATTTGAAGGAGATTGCTTCGTTGATCGAGTCTGGGGCTTATGCTCGCGAAGTTCGGAGGATTGCACGGGCTATCAGGCTGACAATGGCACTGAGGCGGAAGCTCAAGACTTCGGTGGTATCGGCTTTCCTTAACTTCGTGCTTACTCCTGGATCAGAACCTCACGCCCGTCTGTGTTCTTATCTTCCCAAGGTGATTTCATGGCATTTGTTGTGAGTTCGTGCTTGTGAATATAATCCAAATAGTGGCCCATCATGCATTGCTTGCGAATTGGTTTCGTGGAATGAGAAGGAGCTTGTACCTTGTGCGTTCCTCTGCATACTTAGATCTCTTTGTCATATTATCCTACCAATTATGAAGTTCAGTTAGTTAACCACCAAAACTATATTTTAGTGTGTAATTAGGGTTACTGCGAATGATGAAACTTAATCAGTCAATCTCATCAGAGTTGATTGCTTACAGACTTGAAGTTGTATGATAAACTCTTGCTCCCTACTTGATTGGGGCTTGGCCTTGGGTGGCAGTTCCTTTGATGGTGAATTTGGAACGTCACCCGTCAATTTTATCTTGGTGGCAGGAGGATGACCATGAAATGGAGGTTGATACTGCATCGTCTGTAGTGCAAGCTCCTGTGAAGCACTCCCTTCCCGAGTTGGAGATATATTCTCACTTACTGGTCTTGATATTTCTAATTGATCAGAAGAGATACAGTGAGGTAATTCATCGTATAAATGATTTGAGAAATAGAGCCCAGTTCATTCAACTGATATCACTAATCTACTCATCACCTGCTTTCTTTTAGGCTAAAGCTTGCTCATCAGCAAGCATTGCAAGGCTTAAGAACGTTAATAGAAGGACAGTTGATGTTTTAGCATCTAGTCTTTACTTCTACTACTCTCTCAGTTACGAGCACACTGGTGATCTTGCCGAAATAAGAGGGTGAGTTGTATGTTCCTCTACTTTGTTATTTACTGGGTTTCTGGTCTTTTTTCCGTTCTTGGTTCGTATTTTCCCAGACTTGCTTGCAATTGCACTGCAGAAGATAGATGCTGGGGGTTTCTTTCAGTTTAACTTGACTTGGTTCTTTTCCTGGCTGTAGTAACCTGCTGGCACTTCACCAGATTGCAACATTGCGTCATGATGAGCTGGGGCAGGTAAGTTTTTTTTCAGGGATAGGATTAATGTTTTTTTAGCCTTTCAGATTCCTTATTCATGGTTTTACTAAAATATCCTTATTATTATGTAGGAAACACTGCTCAATCTGCTTCTACGCAATTACCTCCACTACAATCTGTATGATCAGGCAGAGAAGTTGAGGTCCAAGGCTCCACGATTTGAAGCTCACTCAAATCAGCAGGCAAGTCAGTGATTTGGTTTTAAGTTAGAATTTAAAGATTCTGACTTTCTTGGTCTTTGATTTTATGTTCCTGCAATATCAGTGTTTGCTTTAGTTTGGACCAACTTTTCTTTTGATTGTGTTTCCAAATCGTTTTAATTTTCAGTTCTACTTCACGTTCTGCAACATCATGTTGCAGTATGACATCAATGAGGACATGGGATCTTGACTAGGATTTTCATGATCCACGTCTATATATCCCTACTTAATGTATATATGGTTCCAGCAGGCGTACGCTAACTTTAAAATACACCTAGCAAGTTTTGCTATTAAGTCCATGAATTAGTTGGGGTTTTGGCCATGAACTATAAACTGTAATGGGAGGATCTCATGCCCTAATTTTCTATACTAAAACCGTAAGAGTAATTTAATAAAGAAATAATAGTTGACTGTTCTGATTGGTCCAAGTGCATTTAATAGGTGTGAACGCAAACATATATTATACCCCAGGCATACTTTATGTTGACGAAACCAGTGAATGCCGTGTACCAAAACATGACTGGTAGCTTATGTACAGGAATTTGCATGATGGAGATTTCCAACTCACTAAAGACATGTGGTTTCTGCTGCTCATTCTGTAAGCATTCTCACTTAATCTCTTCTTTTTATGGCAGTTTTGCAGGTACCTCTTTTACCTGGGAAAAATTAGGACAATTCAGTTGGAGTACACAGATGCGAAGGAGTCCCTCCATCAAGCAGCCCGAAAAGCTCCTGTTGCAGCCCTTGGTTTCCGAATCCAATGCACCAAGTGGGCTGTTATTGTCAGATTGTTGCTAGGAGAAATCCCTGAAAGGACCGTCTTTATGCAGAAAGGCATGGAGAAAGCTCTCAGGCCATACTTTGAGCTTACAAATGTCAGTACCTTTATTATGTGAACTGGATTCTGTGATGTGCATATCATATATAGCAAGTTAAAAGGCATCATTAACAAGGGACATTCTTGTTATATTTTCATCATTTCAGGCCGTCCGAATAGGCGATTTGGAGCTCTTCAAATCTGTTGCTGAAAAGTTCTCAGCGACTTTCAGCATGGACAGGACCCACAATCTGATTGTTAGGCTACGGCACAACGTCATAAGGACCGGGCTCAGGAACATCAGCATCTCCTATTCTCGCATCTCGTTGGCCGACATCGCCAAGAAGCTGAGGCTGGACACTGAGAACCCCGTGGCTGACGCGGAGAGCATAGTCTCCAAGGCAATCCGGGACGGCGCGATTGACGCTACAATTGACCACAAGAATGGGTGGATGGTGTCGAAGGAAACCGGGGACATCTACTCAACGAACGAGCCTCAGATGGCCTTCAACTCGAGGATCGCCTTCTGCCTCAATATGCACAACGAGGCCGTCCGTGCACTCCGTTTCCCTCCCAACTCACACAAGGAGAAGGAGAGCGCCGAGAAGAGGAGGGAGAGACAGCAGCAGGAGCAGGAGCTCGCGAAGCACATTGCCGAGGAAGACGACGATGAGTTTTAAAGGGTTCTAACTGCGAAGTTTAGGGGAAGCAGGCGTGCTTAGGACGTTTATTTATGCTTTTGTCAACTTTTCTGTCAGGTAGACATAATTAATGGGGCTGTTTGTCTAACTTCTTCAGTAATTGATGAACTGTGACAGATGAGGTTTTCCAAATGTTTTGAGGAGGCAATGGCGATGCTTGCATTTCTCCCATCCATGTCTCTAGTTCGAAGATTAGCAGGGTACTTCAATTGTCTGTCAATGGCGTCAGTTGATTCAGCTGGTAAGTCTGTTTTCAAGTCCCAAAGACAGTGACTTGGGTTGGTTGTTTTAGTAATGTAGCTCTATTGATCTAGACATAATTCCTAATCCAGCAAGTGAAGAAGAAATTTTTTTCTTGGATTGATCCAAAAGACTTGAGATGTGGAACTGGTTGTTCTTTAAATAAATTTTTCTGCAATGGGGGAAACATGAGTGCAAACACAGAATTTTCTGGGTTTTTTTTCTTGTTGACACTCAAGTCTAGAGAAAATATCCTTCAAAGCCTGTGGATTCAAAGCCATATTTTCTCTCATCTCAAGAGCTTCCGTGTTGACTCAGTTTGAATAGCATTCCTAAGTTTCCCAAAACAATGATCACAGACTCGATACCATTTGTTCGGATTCGGTGCCATTGCAGCCTTGAGAGACTTTCTACTGGTGCAAGAACGACAGAAGGCGCATCCACAGTTGTAGCAGTTGTGCCGTTTCCTCTTGAAATTGAACGACAGGCGACAGCCAGAGCACATCGATTGATCGACAACACCACCAGATGCCGACGACTTGCGAAGAAGACATATCGCGGCGGTGAAACTAGTGCCACAGACAACACTCCTCACCTGTTTATCTTTCAGACCTTCAACCAACGTGGGAGCATTTCTATCATCAGTATCACCATGACCCAACCTTCCATTTGCACCTTTCCCCCATGTGTAAACCTCACCATTTGAAGTCAAAACAGCAACATGAAAGCTGCCACAAGCCAGTTCCTCCACAAAGTTATCTGCAAGCTTCCCCAATACAAGAGCTGGTCCCTTGCTGCTGCTGCTGCTGCTGCTGCCGTCGTGAGGATTCCCTAGCCGACCAGGTGCAACGCTCCCCATCGTGTAAACATGCCCGGTGGTCGTTACTGCAACAGTCATGCTGTGCCCGCAGCCAACCTGACAGAAGTTCGATTCGCCAAGAGCAGCAACGCAGGTGGGAACGAGCTTCGTCTCCATGTTACCACCATGACCGAGACGGCCCTTATCGCCGTCTCCCCAGGTGAACAACAGCTTTCCCGAACAACAACAACTACTGTCTGTATTGGAAGTTCCAACGATTACCTCCACAACTGCAGCAGTGTGCCACACACCACAAGCTGCTCGCATCGTGCGAAGGCCCTTCAGAGACTCCACTTCCCGTGGCATCGACATGGTTTCACGGTCGCCATGTCCCAAAACTCCAAAAGTTCCATCTCCAAAAGTGAACAGTTGCCCTGATGAAGTTACAACAGCAGTGTGCCAAGGTCCACACGAGACTGACGAAACATGAATCCCCTCCATTGTTCCCTTCAACTTTCTTGGCACCCATTGACTTGCTTCAGCTCCAGCACCATACCCATTTTTGTGATTTAGGGTACTGCATCCACTGTTTCCCCAAAGATACAAATCACCTGCAACAGATACTGCACAAGAATGGTATTCTCCACAAGCGACGAGTTCGATGTTGACGTGTTTGATTCCATCTAAGAGCTTAGGATGTGAGACATCATGATCTGTACCATGTCCAAGTCGTCCTCCATGTTCCTCACCCCAGGTGAAAACCTGCCCTTGCCTTGTTACTAAACCGGCATGTCGTCGTCCACAGGATATGGATTGAACATCCAATGTGACTGCAGATTCTAACAGTTTTGGCACGCAAGAATCCAGATTTGCCCCAATGCCCTCTCCCCATATATACACATCACCTGTAGCATCATTGTCGCCATGACCAGAACCTTCGCTTGATGAACTGACAGAACTCGATAAGCTCTCTCTAAATGCATCCACATTCGTGCCCTTGACGCGCCCATTGATGATTCCATCTGATACAGAATGAACCGAGGCACAAGAAGGCTCCGGCGGAAAAAAAGCTCTGGGAGGCAAAGGGTATGACATAACTTTTTCAATAGTTCCTTCCTTGTCTAACCCAAAATTTTCAGCTCCATATCCAAATTACTGGATGACAAGAAAGTTCTCTTATGAATCAGATGACAAGAGAGTTTGGCTAAGAAGGGTATATTGTAAAGAATCTGAAAACAATAGTGGGAAGATCAAGGGAAAAATGGCTGATAAAATGGTGAAAAGGAAACCATAATGAAACCAGGGGAATTATGTTAGAATGGGAAGAACAGTCATTGCTCCTGGTTTTTACTCTGTAAGAGTACCTTATCTTATCTTAATTTTCACTATTAATAACAAATAACAAAAAGATGAAACAAGCTGGGAGAAAGACTCGGACATTCAGATCGGTTGAGATAATATATATGCACCAAATATATTGACCTATTCCTGAAATTCATTGCTACATATTCCTTCATGTACTGCCACCGATAATCTTGAAGTAGCTTACAATCTTCAAAATCCATTCAAACGTCTTTAATAAGAATTTTGCCCACAATTAAACCCTTAATATCTGCTTAAACAATCTAATAATCTGGTTACAAGTAATCACCAACAGAAGACAGACACACATCTCTGAAAATTAACTAACGTGAAAACTGAAAGCCGAACAACTCAAAACTATTGGAGTTAAAAGAAACAAAAAAAGTGGGGGGAAACATTAGAAAGAGAAACTAAGATATCGAATGAAAAAAACGAGCAAACAGAGTTTTACCAATTCAATTCATATAATATAACACTTTAGACGAAACAATGACTGTAACTAACTTTTTAACAACTCGTCCCTATACTTTTGTTCTATAGGGAGTTATAGAGGATAAATTGGATCAGTTTAGAAAAATTATATCTAAGCGTCTAGCAATAGGATTCCCAAATTGTTTATTGATCCATTTAAAAGGGCCAGAGGCCTTATGTTCAATTATCTCAACTTGATTTTGCCAGCTTTTAAAATCATCCATACTACCATTATACTTAGGTGCATTAGAAACTTCACTAAGATCGCAAATAGCATTAAAATCCCTTAATCTTACTGTCAGAACAGAAGCGTGCAATCGATAATCCAAACCAACACGAACGAACACAAATTTAACGTGGTTCACTAACACAATGTGTGCTAGCTAATCCACGGACAGAGGAGAACAAATTTCACTGATTTGAGGAGAGTACAGGTTACAAACCAAATTCCAAATGGACAAACCAAACATACTAACCTGACTGACCTTACTACAGACTAGGGTGATGAAGAGTATTTATAGAACTCTTCTCCTAATCCCAAACAGAAAACCAAATACCTTTTCCCAAACATACAAGGAAAAAGGCCAAACCCAAACAGAATAGGCCCAAAACACAAAACAAACCCAAATCAAATTCAAGTCATATTCTAACAATCTCCACCTTGACTTGAATTCTCTCTCAAATACCAGATGTACCAGACACAACCAAATTTGCCAAATGTACCCAAACGCGATCCATATCGCCAAATTTACCCAGATGCGATTGAAATCGCCAGATATCCAGATGTGATCGAAATCACCAAACCCAAACGCAATGCAAATCGCCAAACTCAAATGCAATCAAAATTGCCAGACGTACTAACTCCTCCAAATCAGCTGTACCAGAATCTCCACTGCCTCCAAATGCCCTAAGGGCGGTCAACAACTCAAACCATTCGGCAAGTCCAATCCATATTGAGACTTGCCATTCAGAACCGAATTGGTGCACTAATCACCAACGGAACATGTCAAAACATAACCTTGTAGATTATACAAGGCACCCCGCTTGACACCTTTCAAAATCACCTTAGAACCTTTGTAGACAGACAACACTCCACCTTCACCTTTGAAGCTGAAACCCTTGCTGTCTAGTAGACTCAAAGATATCAGATTCTTAGTCATCTCTGGAATATGTCTAACATTGTTCAAGGTGCGAACGGAACCATCATGTGTCCTCATCCTGACGGAGCCTCTTCCAACAATCTTACAGATAGCACCATTGGCCATAGAAACATGTCCTCCATCTATCTGCTCATAAGTTGAAAAACACTCCCTCCTTGGACACATATGATAATCAGCTGCAGTATCTAAATACCACACATCCTGATGATGTACCTGTTCATTCACTGCTAAGGCTAAACCATCTTCAGAATCAGAGTTAGTTTCTTCCGCCACAGCAGCAGATGATTCCTTCTTCTCCTGATATTTCTTTAGCTTAGGACAATCAAATTTCCAATGTCCTTTCTCCTTACAGTAATGACAGATATCATCCTTCAAACCAGCAGAATTCGAATTTGTATTCGCCTTCCTATTACCAGATTGTTCTCTACTACTACTCGTAGCAGCCAACCCAGATTCCTGATTTTCCAAACCTGAACCAGACGCCTTATGTCGAACCTCTCTAGTATGTAGAGCAGATCTGACATCTTCCAAAGACAAACTATCTTTCCCAGCAATAAAAGAATCCACAAAATTCTCATATGACTGTGGCAAAGATACCAACAGAATTAAGGCAGCATCTTCATCATCTATTTTAACATCAATATTCCGCAGATCTAACAAGATAGTATTGAGTTGATCTAGATGATTCCTGAGAGACGTACCTTCCTCCATACGCAAACTGAACAAACGTTGCTTCATATGCAACTTGTTGGTTAAAGACTTTGTCATGTATAGACTTTCAAGCTTCAACCACAAACCCGCAGCAGTCTTCTCAGTAGCAACCTCAGTGATGATGTCATCAGCCAAACAAAGCAAGATTGTAGAGTGAGCTTTCTCCTCCAAAGTAATCCACTCTTCTTCATCTATGCTTTCCTTCTTCGATTTTCCAGACAACGGAGCCCACAAACCCTGTTGTTTCAACAGTGCTTGCATCTTGATCTGCCACAAACTGAAACTGTTTCTTCCGGTAAAATTCTCAATCTTCATACTGATAGCAGTCATTCTTACTATCAAAGAAACTCCAACCAAACTTCTCAGCGCAAAATTTCAGTCCAACGCCAAATTCCCAAAACCTCAACCAAAGGCTCTGATACCACTTGTCAGAACAGAAGCGTGCAATCGATAATCCAAACCAACACGAACGAACACAAATTTAACGTGGTTCACTAACACAATGTGTGCTAGCTAATCCACGGACAGAGGAGAACAAATTTCGCTGATTTGAGGAGAGTACAGGTTACAAACCAAATTCCAAATGGACAAACCAAACATACTAACCTGACTGACCTTACTACAGACTAGGGTGATGAAGAGTATTTATAGAACTCTTCTCCTAATCCCAAACAGAAAACCAAATACCTTTTCCCAAACATACAAGGAAAAAGGCCAAACCCAAACCCAAACAGAATAGGCCCAAAACACAAAACAAACCCAAATCAAATTCAAGTCATATTCTAACACTTACCCAGGGAACATGATCCACTTTCAACTTATCCAAATCGCTTTAAAGTTTTACTCCATGCCTCCTTATTTGAAGCATAAACAAAGGAGATAAAGAAAGGATTACCCAGACCCAAAATAGCATGTATGAATTGATCAGAAATATCAAAAACTCTCAAATTTACACCCTGCTTCCACATTAATTAGACCTTCCCCAGCCCTGCGAGATTGTTCGTCACTTTTCCCCCAGCCTGGAATCTTTTCTCAATAAGCTTGTCAAACTCATGACTTCTAATTCTAGGTTCTAAAATAGCTACTATATCAATCCTTTTATTCTTTACTATAAGTTGTACAATTTTTTTAGGGTTTTTAAACTCTCTTATATTCTAGGTCAAAATCTTCATCGCTTCTTACAACCTTTTCCCCCCTCCGCCCCTTCTTTACAGGGGCAACATAAGGAGTAAAATGTTTCTTCTTAGCCGTTTGACCACTTACTGTCATCCAAGGGTTCTTGTTGTTCTCATTTATAGATGGAGTTGTCTGAGAGACTAACCTCCTAGAAGAGTCTAGTGGGCTAGAACTCGCAGGCTAAAGTTAAAATTCTTTTGGGCTCCCAGGTAAACTTGATGATCCTTTGACAACTTCAGTAAAACTCACATTTGGACTCCCATTTGATGAAGGAGGAGAACTAACCTCTGCACTATTTTCACAATCTTCCACAGCTCCAAACTCTAGGTCCTTAATACCATATGAACTAGCCTCATTGATGTTGCTACCTTCACATACACCTGTTTTCCAGCCTGCGTATCATTTTGTACCAACTTAGAATTTTTCAGAGACTCCTCACTGATAGGTGCAACCTTCACTTGACCCCACTTTCACTCCTTTATTTGCTAGCCAGTGAAAGTTCATGATCATATATCTCACATCTAGAGCAGAGAGTTGGTTTATTCAAATATTCAACCTCGACCTCAAAGGAAGGGTCCTCATCAGGATACAAATGTACTCTGGAGGGAAGCCCATGGTCAGCAACTAGGTCCACACAAATTTTTAGCAAAATCTAAATGTGCCCCTACCCTAGGCGCCAAATCCATCTACAGTGCTGGCAATCCATTCGTGACCTTCAAAAGAGTGATATTAAAGAGGATTGCCCCAGATTCTTACCCAAATAGAAAGTGTCTCAACTAGTGGAGTAACCGGCTGAATCCCAGGTGCCCATTTGCGAAAGTACCTGGTTTCCCTTCAAAGTGCCAAGGCCCCGATTTGAATACCCACTTGCTTGTCGAAGAAGATGGGAATGGAAAGACCATTAGGCGAGGACTGAATTTTGACACTCGAACAACTCCATCCCTCCCCCATAGAGAATTTGAATAATTATTTCATTTTTCCTTTTACAATTCTTTCTATTTAATTGATTTTTTTAAATTTATCTTTAATAATAATTTCAAATGTGGCATATAAGTGAACGACACTTGAGAGCCTCACCTCATCAATGATCAGACAAAGGTTGACCATTGTTTGGCATATACGTGAAGCATAGTCTATATTATATCACATCTAAATTTTAAGTAAAAAAATGCATTAGATTGGAGAGTTCACGAGAGAAAAATATGACAAAATATCTTAGGGGTCGTTTGGATGAAGCATTTTCAAAATGAGACAATTTGGGGTAAATGTTTCATTTTGTGAAATGAGCCAATTGTGTGAGTTATTTGTTCCAAATTGTCTTGTTTGGCTTGTTATTTAAGATGAGACAATTGGAATGAAACATTTATGAAAAATACCTTTATGCCCTCATTTTGGTACCCTCCTTCTCCATCTTCCTCTTTTCCCCTTTTTCCCCTCTTTGTCCATCTTCCTCTCTGTAACTAGAAGCCCACAATTTCGACCAACAAAGATGAACACTCAACACACACACAATTGACAATGGAAAAACTCCTTATCATAAATTGAAGTGTCCAATTAGAGGCTGATTTTGTTGAGACGCTCTAGTCGGCGACAATCATCGCTTCGGGATTTGGCTTTTCAAGCGATACCGAACAAGGAGAAAGACGAGCTGCACAAAGGAGTCTTGAACGGCGAAGGGTGAGCAGCTAAATGAATCGAGCGTCGAGCTAGATGAATCGACCATCATCGCTATGGGATCTGGCTCTTTGAGCGAATCTCTCCTCCCGACATCTGTTCCTTTTTCTTTCTTCTTCGACAAATCGAGAACAGCCGCCCATGCATCGCCTCTCTCTCGATCCGGCGAAACTCACATCGATGGCTACCGAGGTAGATAAAATCGACCATCAGCGCTCCCCTTGCCAGCTATCGTGCTCAAACTGTTGTTTCCACCGAAACGAACGGAGGCTGTCGTCGAGGGCGAAAAGATGATCAGAGAAAATTGAAGGTTGGTTGAGACCTTGGAGGAGAGAGGGAAGCAATATAGCTCGTCGACAGAGATGAAGGTTTTCTGCAGAGAGGGGAAAGAAAGAGAAGATGAAGGTTTTCCTCTGCCGAGAAAGGAAAGAGAAGAAGAGAAGAGGAAGAAAGAGAAAGGGTGTGTCACTTTTTGTTGTGTCTGCAGAGGAAGAGAGAAAAGGGAAAGGTTAGAATTGGGAAAGATGAGAGAAAAACGGAACAATTGAGAATATCTCCCCCTACCCCAGGTATTTTGAATTAACCCATAACGAAACAATTCTGATTTTCCCACTGCAAAATGTTTCATTTTCATTTTTTATTGCAAAACGTGTCAATTGGTTACAATTGACTCATTTTGAATCAATTGACCTAAATTACCTCATCAAAAAACCTCATCCAAACAACCCCTTAGTTTTCTCACAAACATGCTTATATACGACAGAAATACATTTTCAATACGAACACTTATAACAATAGTATGAACACGGAATGAATCAAGTTATACGGATTGCGTAACTCAAAATCCTCACTCAACCAAAAAAATGCTGAGATGTACAAAATAAAATCCTCACAAAAATCAACCTATCTTCTTCCAAAACCCGCCACCCTGGTCCACCAACGTCGCTCCGGCAGACTGGCACTTGTTCAAACAACCAAATAACGACAAAAAGAAAAGCCGGAGGTAAGAAAATGGCTGCTGCGGGAAACTTACATCAAAAAGTCAAAATTAACCAACCCATCACCACCAACAACCACTTCTCTTTTTCCCTTTTCTCCCCCTTCTCTCCGATGACCGAACTCCTCCTTCCCTCATCAACCCCGCCGCCATCCCTCCCGTCTCCATGTCCGCCGCCCTCCTCCGCCTCCTCCTCCTCGCCGGACTACTGACAACCGTCGCCGTCGCTCAAAACACCACCGCAGCAGCTCCCTGCCCGCTCGACTTCACCGTCCTCCGCCGCCTCTACGACCCCACGAACCCCCCAGCGATCGACAGCTCCCAGACCTGCCAGTACATCCGCCAGGGCCTCCGCCTCGTCCAGTCCGACTACCTCCGCCGGACCTCCCGATTCCTCCCTCCTCTCAGCTCCGCCGACTCCTGCTGGCGATCCTACCAGCAGCTCATCAACGATTCCCTCCCCAACTTCGACATCCGCCGCTCCTGCGGCTTCCAGAGCAGCTGGATCTCGCAGGGATGCATGAATATCACCACCAGGCAAGAATTCGAAACCCTAGCTTCCAATTCCTCTTTATCCGACGTCGTTTCCAACTGCAACCAGCCCTTGGAGAACAATTCCCCCTGCGCCGCTTGTACCGCCAGCTTGTCCAGGCTCCAGGCCTTGCACTTGACCGGACCTCCCGTCGGCAATGTCTCCGATTGCCAGGCCTACCCGTCGATTTACGCCGCAGCTGTCGTCAATGGCCCTGGTCCCGCCGATAAGGGCACCGCCAAGTGCTTGTTCTTGCTCGATTTCACCTCCAAGAAACCTAGTTCCAATTCGAAAAAGAAGAAGAAGAAGAAGAGGAAAGTAGTGCTTGTGATTGTCTGCGTCGGGGTAATTCTCGGCGGGTTGTCAATTCTAATCGGCGGGTTGTACTGCTGGTTCTACAGCAATAGGTATGGCAAACTGAAGAGGAAAAGAAGGAGAAGTGAGAGATCGGGGATGGAGAATGTGAGCTCGACTCGGTTAGACAACATTAGCCAGAGCACTACCGTGGTCAAGTTCAAATTCGACGAGATCAAGAAAGCGACGAGGAGCTTCTCCAGAGATAGCATCATAGGGAAAGGAGGCTATGGAAATGTGTACAAAGGCAGGCTGTTCGATGACTCGGAGGTCGCGGTGAAACGGTTCAAGAACTGCTCGGCTGCTGGGGATGCAAGCTTTGCACACGAGGTCGAGGTGATCGCCAGCGTTCGACACGTGAATCTAGTAGCTCTAAGGGGCTACTGCATCGCCACTACTTCAATGGAAGGTCACCAGAGGATAATCGTGTGCGAGTTGATGAAGAACGGAAGCCTCCACGACCACTTGTTCGCTGCTGCCAACAATTCTTCATCCGGGAAGCTCAGCTGGCCGGTCCGCCAGAAGATTGCATTGGGGACGGCGAGAGGTCTGGCTTATTTACACTACGGTGCGCAGCCAGGGATCATCCACCGTGACATCAAGGCCAGCAACATTCTCCTAGACGAGAAGTTCGAGCCCAAAGTCGCTGACTTTGGTCTCGCGAAGTTCAACCCAGAGGGGATGACGCATCTGAGCACCAGAGTGGCAGGGACGATGGGGTACGTGGCCCCGGAGTATGCTCTCTATGGGCAGCTGACAGAGAGAAGCGATGTGTATAGCTATGGAGTCGTGCTGCTGGAGCTTCTGAGCGGGAAGAAGGCATTGCTGAGTAGTAACAAGAGCGACGATGACAGAGACGAAGAACTGCAGCAGCCTTGTCTTCTGACGGACTGGGCGTGGTCGTTGGTGAAGGAAGGGAGAGGGCTTGGTGTGGTGGAAGATGGGATGCCGGAGCTAGGTGACGCTGATGTAATGGAGAGGTATGTTCTGGTTGCGGTGCTTTGTTCTCACCCGCAGCTGTATGCTAGGCCGACGATGGACCAGGTGGTGAAGATGTTGGAGACGGATTTGGTGGTTCCTTCTATCCCCGATCGTGGGTTACCTTTGGTGGCTGGGATGGACGATATCGAGATGTCGGTGAGTAGTTGTGGATCGGGGCAGCTGTTCAGTGCTTCTGGGTATGGCTCATTTGGGTATGGCGGTTCATCTGGAGTCAAGGAAGAAGGGTTGGAGAGTGGCTCAACTGCTCACAGAACTGGTACTTAGATTACTCTCATGTGTCTAACCGGTTCTTCTGATGTATGATTACTCTAGGTTATCAGCTTTCCGATTCTTTGGAAAGTGGGAGACTGAATACAATGGAATCCCTTGGGTCTCGATTCAGATCACTGGGGCGACTATCTCGAAATGTATATATGTTGCCCGACTTGGGCGTTTGTTTCCTCGTGTAGTTGCATAAATAGGCTGTGTGGGTCATATGGTTGGGAAAAGGGACGAGTCCTTGAGGATCGGAATTCGGAAACAAGGGTTGTTTCTGAAGGAATGGAATCAGTTCTTCTCAGTTCTCTCACCGTTTGATTCTGTTATATTGGGCTATTTCCACTTCAAGAATGGATGGGCTTAAAGTAATAAACATTGAGCTGGCCCGGTCTTTTGTTAACCTTTTAAAACCTAGAGCAAGATAGCCAAATTTAGGGATGGCAATGGGTCGGGTTGGGACGGGTTTTGTCAAACCCAAATCCATGGGTTTATACACCAAAAAAACTCGGGGTAAAACCCGTTGGGTTTAAAAAACTCAAATCCAACCCAACCCGCTGGGTATCCGCGGGTTCATGGGTATCCGTGGGTTTTTGTGGTAAAAAATTTACAATAACAAGTTTCTTTCAAAATAAACACTTAACATCAATTTTCTCATACAAATTAATCATACAAAAAACACCAATCTATAGCATACAAGCAAACCGCAAATGATCAATACAAATTGTTCAAAATTAAAGATAAACATCTATAAACAATAAGATTAATTGAAAGCTTCTTCCACGTCAACTAAGTTACTTCACTCTCCACTTCATAATATCAACTTCATTTTAAACAATTAGAAAGAACAAATTATACATGTCTCCACAAACATAAAGAATATTAGTTTTTTAAGGAAGATATATTATTTAGAATATTAAATATACCGGGAAAGTAATTATATGTGTGTGAGCGGGTACCCATGGGGCGGATTTACCTAAACTCAAATCCAACCCGACCCGGTGAATAGTGTAGCGGATTTAAACCCGAACCCGGCCCAAAACCCGTCAACATGGGTTTTACCCGCATTGACCGGGTTGGGTCGGGTGGATACCCGTGGGTTCGGGTTTTGTTGCAATCCCTATAGCCAATTGCCGTAATTTCGTCAAAATCTTGATTTAAATTTCAAAGCTTATGATTTTACCTATCTGTTTCGATTTTGGTTTTAGTCAAGGCTGTCAAACCGATTTATGTCATTGAGTTGGTTAAGGAAGGGGTTTGAGGTTTAATGATCTTATCGGTGTTCGGTCGGTTTGAGCCGTTTTAGGCGTTTATTAAATACATATAGAAATAAGGTAGTAATTAAAGATTTAATGACTGAAATATAATTTATCTTACATATATCTATTAAAAACTTATTTTTCACAAAATAAATCTACCTAACCTCCATGACCCACCCACCATCTCTCTTCCTTCGTTCCTCTTTCTCTCTCCCCCCTCTCGTCTTCTCCCTCTTTGGGAGTTACACCGGGGGGCTTTCTGGAGGCCGTTTTGAAGCTCGACTCGGGTCCAACTAGGGGTTCGATAAGGGTTTAACAACCTTGGTTCTACTGCAAAATTTATGGACCTTAAAGTATTACACTATTTGCAATTAAAATCCTTAAAATTTGGATTTTTCATAAGAGGAATCACTAGGGATGGCAAAAATATCCGTAATCATGGATATCCACCCGAATCCGACCTATTTGGGTAGGGTAAAATCCGAACCCAAAGGACTTTCTAGTGGGTACGGGTAAAACCCGAACCCGAATATTGCGTGTAATGGGTGGGCATGATTTTCTCACTATCCAACCCGAACCCGCCCGATTATACACATACATATGTATTTTTTCTAGAAATAATCATTATTTTTCTCTAACATCTTTCAAATTTAGCATATAAATATGATATTTTCATGAAATTGTGTTGCTTTAATTAATTTTCTTCATACGGGTGAATTATTGTCGTACTTTTCGTCTTATGTATGTGAGAATACGTGTGAATATTAAACATATTGGTTGGAGTTATAAGGAGAACCTATTACCCATGGATAACCGTGGATACCCGAAACCCGAACGGGTATGGGTATGGTTTTGATTTCTACTCATTTCTTATGTGAGTATGGATATGAGTAAAACCAAACTATTTTAGGTCAAATAACGGATATGCATTATCCGCTCCAACCCAACCCATTGCCTTCCCTAGGAATCACCCCAACCTCCCAATTACAACCTTTTTATGCTCCTATTCCGACAACCAGATCAGAGCAAAGGTAAAATTCTCCCTCGCCATTGTGGTCAGAGCTCGAATCAGTGGCTTTTTCGCAACCGAAGGAAGCAATAGCCTCCTTAACTCCAAATTTGGCGATTTTGAGTAGGCTTTCAAGCAAGGAGTCTGGTTTCCTTGGTGGCTTGTTAAGGATTAACAATTAAGTTTGTTAGTTCCTGAAAACTTAAATAAGAGATTTTTATTTAAGGCCTAAGATTGTTAGTTACCGTTTACTTTACCCTAATGTTCACAACGGAGAGAAAGCATTTTCCCTTGTTTTCCATAGAGGGAAGGGACTAAGGAGAAAGAAAGTGGGAGGAAAAATCCACTATCAACCCACCCACCCTTAAAATTGGAGAGAAAATAACATCTCACCCTTCTTTTATTTCTCACTCTCCCTCGGTTTCTTCTATTATAAAACAACATTTTCTCGTGTCATTTCATTTCCCCTCAAAATTTTCTCCTTCATCCCGATTTTCCTTCCTCTCTTCGGAAACAAAGTATTAATGTCACGTTTCTCTACATTATGATTAGACATGAAGGGTAAACTCATTAAATAATTTGACCCAATTTTCACGACCGGTATGAGTATTAAGCCGGATCCGAATGGACTCATATTCACTTTTAATGATTTTGGGTTTGGGTTGGATATGAATTGGTCCTATTTGGGTCTCAGTTCGTTTGGGTAAGACTAAAATGGGTCTAATTGAGTTTAGATAATTGTATACACAAAAAATAATATCAATCATTTCATTAACTACCTTCAATCCAATTATTATTATTTTTTCATAACAATAAGACATAAATTTAATTATAATCGGATAGTCGTTCTCTTTTGGACTTTCAATATTATGAGGTCCAATTTTGATATGAGTATACCCTAAGAGTAAAATTACCCAAATTTGATTTCACTCAGCGCGATAAATCGAATTTGAGCACTACACTAGACATTTAGGTCATTTCCATTCGTAATTATGATTCTTCGTTTTCCTTTGCGAGAGGGAAAAGGGAATGAACTTTCATTTTCAATTTTCTCCTTCCCTCTTCCTTCATTTGGTCCTCTGGACCCTCCTTTCTTCTTCCTTATTGCCCCTACAAGCATGTAAACAGAAGACCGTCACCATCCGTTCTAACCTAAAACGAAATCATGCATTAAATTTTATAGATTAATTAATTAATTGTCAGTTTGGTTAATTGCTTCCATTTGCGGCCAATGCGATGGCGATGGGCCGGGAGTGTGATATAATTAGCTTCTCCAGCCAGCCAGCCAGCCAGTGTCATTATCTCAAACTAAATGCCCACGCTCTTCACTTTCGTTTTCATCTTTCCTATCAAAAGCTTGAATGCCCAAAACTTGGGATGACTCTTTCGATGACCCATAAACAGTAACCTCGCTGTTTCTTACCGAGTTTATTAGTTAAAGTAATTTCTTCTTTGGAGCCTAAATGACGAGTAATTAGGTCAAAAATTGAACAAAACAAATGGGATCCCCGCATCCATTTATTTTTTTTTTCAAAAATGGAATATGGGATAATGCATGGCGTTATAAGACAAACTAGTACTACAACCCAAGTGTATGAAGACAAAAATTCAAGTGACGATAAACGGGAAGGAGCCAACTCAAGAGTTTCATGCTCTCTTTTCATGTGTCCCTTACAATATGTTTGACAATTAGGGTGCAAATTCTAGAAGGGTGGAAGTTGAGGTGAAAATTATAATGTGATGTAAATTGTTTTTAATTATTACTGTTTAAATTAGTTCCACTCATTCAGATTTGCTGATTCATTCTGCCACTGAGTTGGAGAGTGATGAAAATGCAAGGGAAAATTGTTGATTGTAATGGGAAAAAAAATAGGAAGTGCGAATAGGGTGAAAAATAAATTCATTAAATATTTGAAAATTTCATCACCAAATATTCATGCACATAAAAAAATATTAATAAATATACTTTAATAAAAAGAGCAATGAAATTGGATATGTGGCCAAGACATATAGCTAGTTCATTTCTCCCATTTGGGCGTTGATTATCGACATAATCGTTCAACCGGGGTGAAACTGGCATATTAAATCGTGTTTAACCATAGTTGGTCATCCTACAGGATTCAGTGCCCAGTTTAGCTTTAAATTGGATCTTCTCAAAGTTAGTTAAACACATTCAAACCTGCAAGTTTTAACTATTTGATCAGGTAAACTGAGTAAACCAAACCATTATTCTCTCTACATTTTTCATAAATACTTCTTATCTCTAATTTTCAACCCAAATTAGAGTAAACCAATAGATCTCGCTTTGACTCGACGAACGTCGACCAATTTGCTCACCAGAATCAAACGGCGACCACTGATCGTTAAAAAAGTAACAATAATAATAATAATTATGTAATTGTTTTAATTTTTATTCTTGCTACATAATAATATAATTATCACTGTAAATATAATGCAATTGTTACTTACTGTTTTTATTAATAAAATAATTATTAAAAAATAATAATCGCGTATTGGAACAACTTTCACATTCATTTTATCTCTCACTTCTCCTCCCTCTCTTTCTCTCTCCCTTGCACTTGAAATTGGAGGATATATTAAAATAGTGCATTTACATTGCACTCTGTTACCACTATTACAAAAATATTCAAATAGGTGCAAATGTATTTCTATTTGCACCCAAAACCAAATTAATGTTAGGGTTATTCATATATACTATTTATAGGAGTGAAACCCACCAA